AATTTTAAGTGTTAACATTTCAATGATTATTATATTATATTCGAATTGATATTCTCCGAATTGTATAATTTATTTTCTCTCCAATACCTTATGGCTTTCCCTTGCAAAGTTATATCCCTCTCAAAACCTCTAAATAACGAATATTTTTTTTTTTTTTTTTTTTACAATTTCTGGGGAAATACTTCCAAGGCTTTCCACTAGAATACAAAATTGTAACTTGTATAGACTATTATTATTCAATGATCGTTATAATAATGACTTGAAACATTGAAGTAGGCAGTTGTAAAGGTCAAAATATCGAACTACATAAGTATATAAATAAATAGGTATCGTTATAATTTTATCATTATGAATACAACGAACACCTTTAGAGCGGATAATTTTAAAACAAATAATATTTTTAACGTGCCGAACAGATATTATTTTATTAATGCACAATAATTTATTGACAATAATCATCCGATATAATGTGAAGGCCTCTGTTGTACGTGAGAAGTTGAGAAGAAATAGGAATAGGCCAAGACATAGAGGGATATAGGGTGTAAGATATAGAGTTATTTAGTTTGTATAGTTATAAAGACTATTACGTTGTATTTTTTTGTTCTATATATTTAAATATATCTTTATTTCAGGTATATACATTTGGCAACTTGGCAACTAACAATAAGGCCATATAGTTTTCAAAAATATTCCGTTAAATAGAAATTTTTTAATTAATTAATAAAACTGTTATGATTTCGTATAGACAGGCATATATGAAACAAATCATGTTGGATATAGGAAGAGAGTCATACATAGAACTAAAGAGAGTCGCAATGAATAGAGAGGAATGGAAAAATATTTCATCGTTAAACCAATCTACGGATTGAAAAAAAAAAAAAAAAAAAAATGATTTCGTAAGGGGACTTGGATATATTATTAAAAAAGCGAATATGGCAAATATTTAAATATATATATATATATATAAAGACGTCCTAGTATAATGGAGATGGGAACACCCATTGTTATATACATTAATGTATACCTGTAAGCAACGATAAACCATTGCTTACGTAAATAACTATTCTAAGCGGAGTTCAGTTGATACTTTGTCAACAATATATATGTCATTTTGTAGTAAAATAACTAAAAATAGACTTTACCTATATATTTTCTATAATATTTGTTTAATGCTGTACCGATTTACCCAGTTTTATCATGGTTTTTCACATTTTCTAGGAAAAACTCCTGAGAAAATAGCTATATTTCTTATATTTTCGGTTTTTCAAATTTTATGAGAAAATCACAAAATGACCTCCTGAAGGTCTAATATAAATCCGAGTAAGTCTTCTGGTAGAAAAGTTGTTAACAGATAACAAAAAAAAAAAAATTAAATATCTTTGTAAAATCATAAGCTTCTTCGCTCCACTCAGAATCTAATATAATGGGGCACCGAAAAATAATAGGTATATACGGTGTCTAGTTCGGTATAGTGGCGTCCATATAAATAAAACAGTTTTAATATAATTTAATTATAATCTATATACGTTCGAAACGAAGATGCTTAAGCCGGGGAAATGCGGGAGTTATACGAATATAAAGCATTAAACCGTCACGACAGTGTCTCTAAAATCGGTTAACCTTCCCCTCGAGGGACGTAAATAATATAGCATATTATTTCACCGGTTATCGAATCCGAGTATAAAGTGCAGTGTACCGAAATGCTCAATATGACCTTGGGGGGGGGGAGCAGAGAGGTACGATAAATAAACAAATAATATTATTGAAAATTTATATTAATGTGTATTCAAAATAAATGAAAATAATAGCCAACTATAACCTACTGTATTTTGCGGTACTAGGTACCGTCGGTCGAAAATACCGAATCATTTTAAGTATCTAGGTACTATGTGAAAAAAACTGGAGTATTTTTATTGGTATAGGGTGATATACCTTTAACCGAAAATGTTTTCAAAGAAAAAAAAGAAAAAAGCCATTCTTTTTTCATTTTTTATGAGGAAATTGAGAAATTAGGAAGGTAGGATATAGAGGATTAAATTATATTTCAAAATAAAGTAGGTATTAATTCGTATTGAATTCGAAAAACCAAATTTAAATAATTTATCCCCGATTTTTTTTTGTCTCTAAATTAAAATTTATTAATAATAAATGATATAAATTACAAACCTTATATTTAATGTGCCAAATAAATCTTGTCCAACAAAATCAGATCTTTTTTTCGCTCATTTAGCTCTTTTGCGTTTTTTTTCTGTTGTAAAGTATTCATGATTTTGTCATGTTTTATTTTTGTACGATTAAAAGATGGAATTGCATTTCCTTTGAGACGACGTTTAATCAGTTGTGATGGTTTTACGGTTTTTTCAAACGATTTAGGTATTCATCAATAAAACTAATTAGATAAAACCCTATAATAATTTAATCAGAAAAGTGTTGAACTGATCTTAATCTGTAACTTGAAAATGAAATGAGCACACTACGGCAATTCTAGAAAATTGTTTTCCTATTTTCATTTTTTTTTATAAAAATATAAAAAATACAAACATTTGTTACTGCATAAATATACATGTTGCATAATTATTGTAACGCGATATTAAATACAATTTAACATTTGTTCTCTAACCCAGGGGCAGGCAATCGAGGGCGAAATTCACCCTCGCAGAGAAATAAATGGACCACTAAATTTGTTTTCATTCAAAGCTGGTTTTTTTGTTTTCATTATTTTTCTCTGTGTGGAATATCCAGGCGTCCGAACGTAATCTATATTTATGACGTATTTGGTATATTTAGTGTATTCGTTTATTATTATAAAACTGTAGATAGGTATATATATATTTTATTCTATAACATAATCAAATATAACATTGCCTATTACTTTAACTTTAGGAAGGTAATATGATATTATGTTACATTGATACAAATGCTTACGCACACGTGATGTTTAAATGAATATATACAAATGTATTTACATATAAATAACAACCATATTATTAATACTATTATTTTGTCAAACATATTTTAAAAAGTCAATAACTGAACATTTTTTTTTTTTATTTATATTATTTTCTATTTTATTTTATAAGAAAAAAAAAAAAAATACACGAACGCATTAGTATCACTATCAAAGCAATGATTGTATTTTGTTATTATTATTTATTATTGGTTTAAAACTGATAATAGAGCTGAAACTCGTGAACGCGTGCATGGGAATCTAGTGCCGAACCCTCGCAGCGGTTTATATAGCACAGAGAGAATGATAACTGTTGTCTTTGTCTTTGTCTTAATATGACGTGGATCTTATCCAAAATAAGAACAAATATATTAATGTAATATTATCAATTCATGTATTTTACATTTCATCATTTCAGAATTAAAATTCACTTATGTTTGAACCTAATTCTCTTATTTTATGAAAATTAAATTTTCGGTTATTTGGTTCATATTTATGTTCTATTATTTTACGAACATTGTCGTGATTAAATGGCCAGACACACTTCCCATCCTCTTTAACCCAATTCTTAGGAACACCTTCAACAGTATTGTCTTATTATAACTAATATGAAGCCCTTCTTCGGTACATTAAAAATTTAAAACAATATTGTTATTGATTATTAACTTATTATAATAATTTATACCGCGTTTCTATAGATACATCATTGAAGAAAATAATATAAGTCTCGATAATAAATAAACACAATTGACAGAAGAACGGTATCGCCTCCGTGCCACTCCCCTTGGATGCGCCGTTGAATACGAAGTTTTTTCTTTCAAAATTCTCATTGTATCATATAAACATTATACTTAACGGGATTATGTTACACTTAAATAAAGCCAGCACCGCGATTTCGAAATAGCACCCCCGAAAATACGTGGCGTGAATATTCCCGAGTAATAATAATTCATAATTTGTCGTCTAACCGTATAATAAGAATTTGATCAAAATCGTATAGTATTATTATTATTCATTCGCGTAGGTAGTTACGGAGCCGAGAGAAACCACGTGAATTCAAAAAAATCTACTTAAATACAAAAGTATTGACAAACGTAATAAATATTACACGTCCAGATATTAAACGATATTTGTATATAAACACGCCGATATTTTCATTACGTAGCAGATTTTGCAACGCCATTCGAAAAATAAACACGTATCTGAATATTTTCGCAATAACCGAGTATCTACACATTTTTTATTTTCGATGTTTTTTTGTTTTGCTTCCGAACCGTTTCCGAGGTTCGGTTAAAAGCGGGGAGTGTAACCAGTGGCGCCTATGTAATTTAAAATTGCTCGGGAAAACAAGTTAATACTGTATTATACTGGTCTTTTTAGAGTGTAATATTAATATATTACATTACTTACAGTAATATTCTGTGTAGTTATTTTTCCTACAAATACTACTTATAACTATGTGTATTCCTCACCACTAGCACCATTCACCTACACACCACTAACAAATTTGGTCGGGCGGTCGCTGAACCTGTATCCCAATTTCTGCACCACTGTTTACAGTATATCATCTGGATGGTCATGCACCGGGTTTCTTCCATCAGGGTTTATTTTGAGCATATAAAACTATTGTAAATATAGAATACCTACATCCATATAAAAACCCATAGTGTATACTTTTCATTTTTCTGTTCAGAGTTTACCATTCGGTTATCCGAGTCGTATAATACGTGCACAATCCACTGAAATTGAACTTTGGGGTGCAATGTTAGAGCGCGTACACTCAGTACGTGAGCAACGGTAGTATCCTATACTAACGACTAAAGCTCTAATAATTTTCCGGCTGCCAAACCTGTGATTTGCATCATCTCCTGGCTACTAATAGATTTTCCAACTCTCGGAGATTCACCTATAAACAGTAATTTTCAAATCTACCGGACTCGAAATGTTGGACATCAGCTACATATCCTTCAACTTTACATCGAAGGTATTAGCAAAGCAAAATCTGATTACCTAACGAAACCTAATACTAATGTCATACATTATTGATATCGTACTAATAGAAGAAACGCATACTTCAAATAAATCACAATTGCATACTCGTGGCCATATACATGGCGGGACTCGCGACAGCGTGGCGACCAGTGTATCTTAATCCGTAATACAGACAGACACAATAGATGACAGGTAACGTTTGATAAACACAACCAAACAGTAATATTAGGATTAGTATAATGGACAGTTAGATCAAACAGTAAGACCTTAGTTTGTCTACAAAATATGTCGGTAGTGTTTACAATAAGGCCCAGTAAAACGGTCTATAGTAAACTACTTAAATATTTGTAACGGTCGGCGGTCGTTAATTGCGCGATTCCGTTTATATAATAAGTTGTGGCCGTAGCAATCGGTGTTCGCCGGATCGGTAATTCATGGCGTTACGGCGGCAGATGTTATCGGCGCGGAGGTTTCGGAACAAATGCGCATCCGCGGCTACGGCGACTACCTTATATAATGCCGGCGGTGGCAAACGGCGCTCGTTGATTGGTTGACGTAGTGTGGCGGCACTCGTCACTGCTGTGGGATTCATCGCTTAAAGGTCTATTCACATATTATATAGTCGCCGTGCGTTGCACTGTGGCATACAAGTCATTATTTATAAACATATTCACATATTCACGTATGTAACGTCCAAAAATGGACCCGGTTAAAAAATGCCACGCGCACACCGGTTTGAATCATATTTTGTCGATAATTAATATTACGCTACACCAGACCCTAAACGTCAAGTCATTAATGTTTGGTAACACTGAGATCCGCGCGTCCACCACTCCAGATTCAATCCAGGTTTTCGCAAACGATTAACCACAAATGCATATACATATACAATTTGTATGGAACAATTATTTAAATACCAGCTAATCAAACTCTTCAAAATTCCCCGATAAGATATCTCCCGAACGGTCGACGAGGCTTCCGCCTTTCGGAACCAATTACTTTTTCCATTCACGTTCTACTGAAAGGACGGTTTTTTATAATGTTCAATTTTTGCTCGGGCCGACTTCACCAAGAAATGGCGGTGTAGCAGCCATACAAGTCCCTGTAGGAGAATATCACCATGTGAATATAACGTCCCCTTTTTATTTTACGCCTTGGACGGCATCTAGTTAAATTCGTTTCTTTCTTAAATTACCTATCGGTAGGTAAAAATTCCACATCTCCAACAATGTCTCGGCTGAAGGTCGTCGAATAAGTACCTTAAGTGTACGTCGTGTCATTACTCTTAATCCACTATTTCAAATTAAAAAACCAACATTTTGTTCTGTAATCTAAGTTCCCACGACGCCCGGTGGGTCGAAAGGTGACAAGAGAAGTTGTGAAGAATACTTATTGGTATTTTCGGGTCTTAGCTGAATTCTTCTATTGTACAAACGAAACTTTTGCGACAATTGCAAAAAGGCGTTTTATATCACTTTTCTTGCGTGTAACAATCTAACATTAAATATTTATTTTGTTTGAACATGTAATTATTGTTGAGAGTAAGATCGTATTAGATACACTTTTAAAGGAAAAGCTCCATCTCCTATAATAGTATAAGGTATAATACCGGAAAAAAAATGGAAAAAATGGGAAAATTTACAAAATGTAGGTTTTAGAAAACTAAAAACTATAAAATTATATACATTTTAATGCATATTTTATTTGAATATAGAAAATGGCATAAACTTCATTAATAACTATCGCTCAGAAATAATAATTATAATAATGAAACACAGTAAGTAACTTTTACTATTATTATACCTAAATTTTATTATTGTGTAATTAGCATTGGCAGATATCGGGGGGGATTTTTGGATAATCCCTTTCTTGCGGTATTCATCACATCTATATATTATTATCTTCAACTTAATATTTATGAAACTGTCCCTTACTATCCCTGTGGATTTTGAATTTCCCCGTCCCCTCTCAACTGGAATAAATTCTCCACTGGTGTGTATAAGAGAGTTCGGCATTTTTCTACCGGAACAACAGCTACATTATTATTAAAACGGATATTTCGTTCGAAAAAGACATTTAACGATAAATATTGTTCGTTTGGATAGACGTCCGGAAAAAACCGTACAAGTACCTGTCAAGAATTAGACGTTAAACCGAAAGTTCGAATACCCGTCAACGGTTTAATTCGTTTCCGCGTGTATTTATTTTGCAGTATACACGCAAAATAATAAAATTTAAGTATAAAATATATAACGCAGAATGTTTGAAGTTACTTGGAACCCTTATATTATAACGTGGTGTATAGGCGTATGCAGTGTGTACACAATAACGGGTGTGACTCGTGTCAAATGTGACGACTATAAAGGTTTTTTTTATGCATTTATATTTTTTAAATAAATTAAAAAATATTCTGAAAATGAAAAGAATTACCGATGTTGACACCAGATCGATAGTGTCACGGAAAACGAAAACAAAAAGGTTGACATAAGTTATTGTTTTAAATTAAAGTAAAATAATTATTATTATGTAGTATTACACGCTTAAATCGAATCACAAGGGAATTAAAAAAAAATTAATGTCAATGTACCAGCGATTATATCATACTCCTGAAAGATTGGTGACACGACTCAAAAAATACTGTTTTCGAGTTATTACTATTTATCAAAATATGCAGAATATCCAATATACAATATTTCATTAATTGCATGAATGTCTATATATCTGCTTAAAATACAAATTTTAGCAAGAATATTGATACTACCGAAACGTGAATTTATTCAGACCAGACTAATGTTTTTACACTAATATCTAGCAATAGCAAAACATTATTTAATAAAGAGTTGACATTAAAATACTTTAACCTATAGGTATTTAAAAAAAAAGGAATCTAAATTTTGGTTTGTTTATGGCATAACTTGAAAATATTTGGCTGATTTTTTTTTTTTTTTTTGTTGTAATTGGAATTGTTAAGACAAGTTTTTATAAAAAAAATTTTTAAAAAATTCACCTGAAAATTCATAAATTTGAATGGTATTTTTGTATAGAAATCTCAATAGTTATTTTTACATTTCATTCTTAGCACCAAGGCGACCGGTAAATCAACAAACATAATTCAATATTTAACGTTCAATTTTGATGTCGCATGTTTTCATAACAACAGTATTTGATTGATAAATAAAAATAAAGGCTTATATGAAAGAATATTTTTGAAAAATCTACTGGAAATTTGAATTGATATTGAAGTCATAGCGTAACCAACAAAATATTGATTTTTTTTTTTTACACACTCAGATTACCAATCGAATTATTAATTTTATACCAATATAGATTGTTGGCAAATCTACTAATAAATACGCACATATAGGTATTAAATGAAAACTGTGTCCTCTGCGAGTGACTACTATAATACGATACACATGCTCTCTCACTGTCAAGCGTCCCCACTCCCCGACAGCTTAGGACTTTCCTTTAGAAATCCACATCTCCCTCTTCCGGAATTAGGTGTTTAGATATTTTTGGTATAAAAATTATAAAAAAAATGTCACAACAGAACATGTTTAATCTGCCAAAGGTGGACTACCCACTTTTCGCCAATTTGTTTTGATTCAATACCAAGGTCAAAACTAAAAGAGAATATTGGCAAAAAAAATAAAAATAAAAAATCAGTACAGGCATCGCTGACAGTGGCGTTTATTTAGGTTGCTGGGTATCAGCGCTTAGTGGTAGTATTGATACGTTAGTTTTATGCCGAAATCACATACAACTAACCATACAACACCTTTATTGTTATTTATGATTTTTGACTTATTATTAGTTCAATTGTAAGTTATTCCGTTAAAGCTTCATATCTATATCATGTTTTGTATTGTTTTTAGTTTATGTTTTAGTTAGAGTTTGTTAGTGTTAGTTTACTCCCTCTTTCATAGGAATAAATATGAAGGGTACGACCTGCATCAAGAGGTGTCGGAATGCATCAGTCAGGGAGCAGCTTACTCCCAACTTTACCCTGTAGAAGTGTACGACCTGATGAAAATGTGGCCCTCCATTTGCATAGATGCAGTGCTGAGGGATGTGGAGGGATACAATGTGTTTTACGAGGCCATTCGACCGAAAATCTCTCATCCAGATCATATTTTTGTTCAAAGGATGATCACACCCAAGTTAAAAACAGAGGACATCCACATATGTTTGGAATTGAGTGGACTAGGCAAAATATTCGGACATCCCATAATAGACATGGAAGAAAGCATAAGTAGCTGGATAGGGAAAGGGACAGTATTGAAGCTGGATAAGAGAAAAATGGGTAGGTTGTGTAGTCAGATGTTCAAGTTCGTGCTATGCAGGAGGTACTATGAAGAGCGTAACAGATGGTCTCCACTCGAGTTTGATAGTTAAGTTGATTCGTGTTGAAAGCCATACGAAATAAATAAATAAGTACGGGCAACGCCGGGCGATACATCTAGTAATATAAAATTTTGCGAAATTGCTAAACAAAAATACTATTTAAGTATAATGTTTATAATTTATTGACCAGTGGCCATAGTTCTTGAATAAATGATAATGTGCATTATGATTTTTGCGCGATGAGGTTGCTTTTCCCGAAAATTTCGCAAAAACAAAAGATTATAAACGGATTGCGTCTTGATTACCTGTTATAATATGTATTTTTTTAGACAATTAAGGGCCCGAGTCATTGAACTATACCACACTGATTCAATAATCATTCGGTTCGCCTAAAAGATTCAACTCTTTGAGCCCTGCACTCACTAGTGATAGTGATAGTGATAGTGATCCATCCCTAATGTGGTTTTTTCAATCATATACCTACCGTTTGATGGGTACGAGCGGAATGCGCTAGTAAATCGGGTGACGAGCGACTATATATATATATATATATATATATATGTATGTATGTAGGTGAGTACTAAAAATCGACAAATTATTGTCGTCATCATCGTAGTCGTTGTTGGACGCGAGTGAATTCACGGACGCGGTCCTCGGTAATCGGATTCTGCGCGGAAATTGTGGCGAACCGTTGGCGCACATAATTTCTGCGTTTGTTTTACCCGAGTGCACCACCCCCGCCGCCATCGTGTTACGAAATATAATACATGTATATATATATATATATATATATATATATATATATACACACACACGGTCATTATTACGCGTCCGAGTATAGTCGCGCTGCTCTCATTCAATGTATATAGAAACGAGAAATAAATCGAAACGTGAATATCCGCAGAGTAACACGGAAATTATGGTTCAGGTTCCAGTGAACACGGATGTCTATATTAAACGTGATGTTGTTGATGTTGGTTTTTAAATTTTTTTTTTTTTTTATGCACCTATAGCTCTGTATATTCTGCCGTGAAAGAAACATACTACCTACTACAATAGCACGTTTGCGGTTTACGCAGAGTAATCGTGTTATTGTTATACGAATATATTTTACCGAAACGACACGTCAGTATAGGGGTTTTAGATTCCGAACGTGGCAAGAGAGTTATTGGTTTACAATGCTGTTTATTTTTTGCTCTTTGTTCTAGTATGTGGACACGTTTTTTCTAACTTGTAGTAAACTTGAGCAAGTAAACTTTCTCCGATCTTTACGAACCGCTACTTTTATGAAAGCTCGAGTTGTCTAGATTGTACTTTAGAGAGATCATTTTTTTTGGTTTTCGACGCCGTTTTTTTAAAATAAAAGCACTGAAGTGGAAAAAAACGTAGGAAAACGTACAATTTCACGATTTCAATATTTCTTAAAAATACGGACGACGTTTCCCAACAGAAAATGTGATTTAATCGAAAAATAACAAGATACCTTTTTTTGATCTACTTTTTTAGGGTATCATCGCCAAAACTTTTAAGCCACTATTGAACTTTTAAGGAATTTTAATTTCTGGGAGTTTTATTTTGCTGTAATTCGGTTATAAATACACGCAGAGACTTTAAACTTGGTGATAATAATTATATTGAACTTACTTTAGACGTAGTGAGATTTCCAAAATCATAGGATGACTTTTTTTCCTTTTTTTCAATTTTTTTACGACGTAAACATTTCGCCATCTGTTATCAAACATACCTAATATATAATCTCACATAAACTTACGATGTTTCATCATAACGAGAATTGTTTAATTTAATGAGCCGGGAACTTGGGAGTTGGTCAATCGTAGTTGACTCGCTGTAGTCAACTCATTAAAGCGAACCGAGACAAGTGAACCGATGCATGTCATTCAGTCGAAAATCCCACGCATGAAACGCACACTCTTAGTCGTTTCCACGCATTTGTATAGGTATAGTGATCTAGTATAATGATCATAAGCGTGTGTATCAAATCCACTTGGCAAGGGAGGAAGCGATCGTTGAAGACATTATGGACGTATAATATAATATTGGTGCTATAATAATATATTTAAATATTTAAAACGCATGTTTTTCGGTTTTTTAATTTCCATAAAATAGTTTTTAATCAAACAACAAATGTCACAACTGTTTTCAAATAATTCCGTTTCGATTATCACGAAATAACTATAATATCTTCAAAAATGTAAAGTTAATTAGATTTTGATTTTTTTTTTTTTTTTTGCAGTTACCTATTGTATAGAAACGTTAATATTAAAATGATTTAAAATATTTTTAAACGATACCATATCAGCTTTTGGTTTTAAAATAGCGAACCACATTTTTAAACTCGCATTCGAATTGAGAACATGTTTTGTTTTAATTATTTGATTAACATCAAACCTTTCGTTCTATTCATCCGATCTAAATTTTAAACTGCAGTAAACATCCAATATTTAAACGTTTATTAATAATATAATTAACCTTTTACTAGGAAATATTTTTATTTTTCAAACTGATTCAAAATCATCGACACAGGTTGACCGTAGGTACCTGTAGGAATAATATCCGTTATAAAAGACAATCACTCTGTATATCACACAAAAGACGAATCGCTACGTATAATACTCGTGTGATATATTAGTATACGACTCGAATTTGACAACGTTAATTCGAAAAGAGATTGATTTATCGAAACTTGTTCGTGATAAAATTCGTATATTATTATTATTATTATGCACTGCTCGTGGTACGCCGATAACGCGTTTCCCGCTCACGTCTTATCATTAAAAAAAATCTCCCGCCGCCTCAGTTTAACGTATCAATAATAATTTAGTTGACGACGACGACCAGAATAAGTTTTTAAATATCGTCGTAAAATATCCTCATCGCGTCGGCGGCGGTTAAACGATAATATTTATCGTCGAAACAAATCGCCGTCGACGTTTCCCGCGAGGGGGTTTGCAGTTTGTTGGTCCAGCTGCTGTACAGTGTACATCGCAGCTCTCGTCGCTCGATTTTTATATTTTATTTCATCGGAAAAAAGGAAAAATTAGAAAGATAGTCTGTATTTTAGAACAGTATCTAGTATCGGGAACCACGAGAGAAAAAACAAAAAACGGACAGGTTGAAAGTTAACTCTGCCTGCCGGAGACGTCACAAATATCGCACTGGTGCCGGTCCGTTTCCCTTGTCGCCGGCAGTGGCGTATTTATATACAAAATTGCAGACACTATAGGCATAAGCCTATAGCGGCAAATTTTTGGAAGCTCCAATTTTTTAAGGTTAAACCGTTTTACGTTATTATTGATAAAATGACTAATGAACTTGAAAAAAGACAACATTCTTACAAAACGTTTTATGATTTATTCGAATTAAAAAGCACATCTTTAATTTAAATTCTTTGCAAACAGTTGAGTTAGCTGAGTAATTGCAAAACATACACCTATCCAAATGATTTGGACAATACTTTTTCGTCAGAATGTTTACATTTAAAATCGTATTTATTGAATAGTGATATTAACATAGATAACTTTACCCCAATCAAACTATGCAAGTATTTAAGAAAAAAAATCATTGCATATTGATATATTTCCGAACATCGATAAAGCATTAAGAATTTTCGTGAATGTACCAGTTTCGCTGTACTACTATTAAGTGTACTACAGAGTTCGTTTCCGTATCTAAAACGCGTAAACAATTATCTAAAATATCAAACTGATGAAAAAATGAAACAATTTAAAACTGCAATTAAAAGAGGTGAGCTGCGAAGATTTAATCGACACAGTTGCCGCTACCAAATGTCAACGCAAACCGATATATTTAATAACTAGCATAATATATAAGTTAAAATAATATATTTTGTCATTAATTATTAATACAAATGATTTAACTCTTAAAAAATTATGTTTTAAGTGTTTAAATACAAATTTGTTTGCATTCTTATATAGTTAATATATATTTTATAGTAGGTAAATTAAATACGTTGAATTGAAGAATCTTCTGTTTAAAATTAAAATCATCTCCCATTTTTTTTAGAAATATTTGTAAAAAGTCAATAACTAAAAAAAAATGTTTTTTTTTTATTTATATTATTTTCCATTTTATTCTATAAAAAAAGAAACATGAACGCATTAGTATTAGTATTAAAATAATGATCGTATTTTGTTATTATTATTTATTATTGTTTTATATTAATAAAATTAAATATTACAATATTGTTAGTCCAGTATTTTTTTAAATACATAAATTAATAAATGTCTTAACTTCTAAATTTGTTTTTTTCTGGAGGTCAATAAGACAGAAAACCAAAACTAGAAGTTGTACTTTCACTAAACATTTATTGAATTCATTGAAATAGTGAACTAAATATGGTTTTAGTGGAAACGGGTAATGATGGGAAAGGGAAAGGTCCACATTTGGTGGAAACGAGTAGAGGAGACCAGGGATAAATTAACACAGGTCAATTGTAACAAACTAAATATTTCTTTCCATGACAAATATTAATAGAAACTGTTATGCGGGTGTTATTTGTCCTCTTCTATTAGCCATAAGTGCATGTTATCAGTTAGAAAACTGATATCAACGTATGAAAGTGATTTTTTTCTGTTGATTTTCTAAATATGTATAAAAGTTGAAACATTTCTATTAAAGTGATTCCAGAGATTAATATTCATTAAAAAAAAAGAAGTTATCAAGTAAGTAAATTTTTTTTTATCGTACTTATGGAAAAAAAATCTTATCGAAGTCAATTGTAACAAACAGTTAAGGAAGAATTGTAACACCACATACTATACACATACACTTATTTATTGATTTTATTAATTACCTACGTTCTTAATATAGTTTACAGTGTAAACTTTACACAATACCCTGAAAACGTATATAAACCATAAACAGAGGTACCACATCATAAAACACTACGAAAAAAGCAGCATAATTTGAAACTATAATATACTTTAAAATATTAAATGTAAAATCAAAAAGAAAAATTGGTATGACATTATTACTTATATTAGTAACAGGTTTATATTTGGGCATAAATG